ATTCAGTATAATAGTATCTTACTATTGGCCATAACTTTTGAACAAAGTGTGCTAGAGCTATCATATGTTACAATTTTAATTCTTGAAGAGCGTTTTTAAGGGATACCAATATATATGAATTGCATTTGGAAAAATTTGACCTTCGCTATGTTGCCACACGCAGTCATCAGTGTTTCACAAACACTTCTGGATTCCAAATAAGGTTAATTATATTGATTTACGGAGAGAACTACATGCACCGTAAATAATAATGATATCTAATAATGATTATCTAAATTTCTGTTTGTTACAATATAAAACTTTCCGATCCCGTATTGTACAATAAAATGAAGCTGGATATCAAAATTAACTTTCCGTTTTCTGTGTCTGTAATATACTTATTTCTTATGTAACTTGCAACAGGAGTATGAATTAGTTTTGTTATAGAAAACATATATCAATATTTTCAAGGCTGTACAGGTAATCACACCCATCTGTATTTCATACACTCTTCAGCCTCTAGGTGTATGAAATATATATTATATATAAGTGTGGAGTACCTAAATGCATGTATATCCTTTTTTCAACATGAATAACTGTTATTATCTAAAATAAAGAAAACCCTAAGGTTTGTAACAGTTGCATTTATTTATATAACATGAGATTGAAGATGAACAACAACAAAATAGCATAAAAATATATATACAAACTAGGATGAGAAGTTTAAAAAAATATATTCAATAAAAATGTCTTTGTATAAAATGTGTTCATTAAACTAAATACTGGTCATAACGGGAGACAAATGAGATTTAATTGTAATCGTCCAATTAGGTTCAACTGGTACAGGCCCTACATCCGCAAACCTCGGAAACGGTGTACGATTTGGTTCGTGTAGATTTGTCAGAACACGTAAGAACGGCACTCCTTGTCACAGTTCGTATGGGCTGGCAACAATTACACTTATTTGTGAAGCCCTTCATAACGTTTGTATAAGTGGCCTGGGACTCACAATGACCCGAGCACTGCATGAGATCCGCTACAGGTTGCTCATTTTTACATGTCACAGTTCCTTCTGTCAGAGTGAAGTAGCCTATTGTCAATACTGGGTTTGTAAACTGTAGAGTTGGTTGACAGGTTGAACAGCTATTGCTGGAACCTACAAGGTTGGAACTCGTAGCTGAAAAAGAGCAATAAATTTCAGTTCTATCAAGTTCTCCTAAATAAGATTATCTTAGCTCTAAAGTCTGTTGGTTTTGTCTATAGCACAATGATGTGCAAAAATAATTATTCATTTTTCTTCATGTTCAATGCTGTTTGCTAAAACATAGAGTGGTCGTGGAATGCAAATAATTCTGGAGTTACAGTACTTATAACTTACGTGTTAGTACACATGTAGGACAGCAACCTGATTGGTCATACTCTGTTGTATTCTGGAAGAAAAAAATAATAATTTTACAACTCAAGCTTTATTTTGACTTGCTTTTGCACTCACCAACTTGTACATTGATTATAAGATAAAGTAAAAAACAAACTCTGCTAAATTTTTGAATTTTGAATTGTACAGGAAGTAAACCTACCCCTTGGCATGCTGGGAGATTGTCTGTTTGACATTGTATTTGTGTTTCCTTTATGAGGAAGCCAGATGAACTTGCTGAACAAGTCTTTGTTTAGCATTTCATTGCGTTTGGTATTGCCTCTCCATCCTAGAGCAATAAGGAAATGACATGTACATTTTTGTGATTTATGCCTATTTAAAATCTGACAAAATCTGCAATCATAAAAATTTGATGAACAATAGAGAGAAACTCAGTACTGTATTTAATTGTCCCTACAGCTATCAAAGGTTAATTCCATTTGTTTAAAAGACGTTCATCAAGAAAATTTCTGAACTAAAATCATTCACCTACAAGTAACTTTTGACAAGCCAAGTGTACTTCGTGATTGAGGAGGGCAAGTATTTTTACAGCATATATGAGACATTTACAGTAAAATGACATGTTACATTCTGATGAAGATATATATTAGAAATCACTCATTCCTTGTTCCTAAAAGTCAGCTGTACTTACGCTGTAAACATGTCCATCCACCATACACCCTGTCTCTTTACATGTACCACAACAGCTGTTAGGGTCACTGTGGTCTAACGTTGTGTCCTGTGTACAAATAAATTAACACATGATATCTTAAAACAGCTCAAATACATGGGGATTTAAACAAACCGTCTTGAAAAAAAATATGATTTAAAACTCCCACTAGTAAAACTTGCAAGTTAGCACTTATTTTAAATAAATTTTATCTCTCTCAGTACACTCTCAATTATCTGTTGGTTTTGTCCTAATACTCTCAAAAATAATTATTCATTTAAACTCTCTCTGTTCACATTATTGCTAAAAATTCCTTCCGATGACAATGCAAATAATTCTCAAAAATATTTATCGGAAATTTAAACTCTCTCTGTAACACATTATTGCCAAAATTCCTTCCGATGAAGTATATGCTGCAGTTATCTCCCATGCATGTTTAATACTCAGCAGAGGGCAGGCTTTACCTCTTTCCAGAGACAAAGCTTCCCCTCCTAAACACTCACTTTCAATTATCTCCCTTGTTTTGTATTCACCGAAGGACAATCTCCATAACTCTCCCCACTGCCCATCATCCCCCCCCTAAAAAAACCCAACATACACAAATACACTAAATTCTCACATTCAATTGTCTCCCTTCATCACTACTCACCAAAGGAAAAGCTTTACATCTCTCTAAACGAGAACCATCTTACATTGAGTTATCTCCCTTTATTAGTACTCACCAGAGGGCAGGCTTTACATCTCTCTCGGTGACACACTGTCTCGATATTTCCTCCCAGTCGTTTCTCACATTCACAGGATTTACAAACTCCATCTGTCCAGGTTTCATTCACCTAATGTAGGCACAAAATTAAGTTAGTACATGTACACTAGAAATTGTGAGTAAGTTTCTACTACTAAAACATGGTGAAAGAATTTATATGTACTATAAAAAGTTTCAATACGAAATAATCATTGAATATGTATGCAGTCATTTAATTATATATCTAAAATATAGAGCATTGTGTGATGAAAATCACTTATGATCAATGAAAATCACGACACTATCATGATGGATTATTCAACAAAAAAAAAATTGATGATACCAAACAAAAATATCAAATTTTACAAAGTTTTGCTTATTCTAAATCATAGTAGATATCTGCTAAAAGGATAACTTTAAGGCTCCAAGAAAATACCTCAATCTGTCTTAAGCTTTACCTTGAAGGAAAGGCTTGAACCATTAGAGTGTTTGTACCAGCAGACTGCAGGTCCATAGTCTAACGGGACACGGCTCACTAGAAACAAAACAAGACACTGTCAGCCCATAATCGTAGTGAGTGAATTGTATACATTAAAACAGAACTCAGTCTGATACAATTACTTTTAATACTGATCACATTTGTATCTGGTATAATTACTCGAAGTACCTCCTCAGGTGTAACTGTTACATGTGTAACTGGTACAATTACTCTAAATTACTGTAAGTACTTACCAAATGTGTGACTTGTACAATAACTGTTAGTACTTTTCACATATATTCACACTGGTACAATTACTGTTAGTACTTATCACATTTGTAACTGGTACAATTACTGTTAGTTCTTACCATATCTGTCACTCATACAATTCCTGTTAGTACTTACCACATGTGTAACTGGTACAATTACAAGTAGTATCTACAGGTACAGCAACTTTTCCCTAAAAAATTATTTAAAGGATTTTTAAAAGCAGTAACTCAATTTAATTATTCTATTTTATAAGAGTTGTAATTTAAAATGGTGTTACATAATAATGATACTTACTACTTGACATGTTGGTTTAACTGCGGTTGGACACACGGCTGGGCACAACTTAACGAGAAGAATTCATAAAGTATTTAATATTTCAATCTCAAATGCATGGTGCTGAAAATTTGAATTTCATTGATATATAGGAGTAAATTACTTTAAATTTCAAATTCTGAGAGTCTATTGAAAACCATTTGCCAAAAAATGTGGAAAGCACTTTTAATCCTAGAATAACCCTTTGGACAAAACTGAGTTCATATTTTATACTAGTTAAATCTCTTCATTTCTAAAAGAATTTTCAAAAATACTTCCTTTCAATTTCATGCCCAACTTGCATATGAAGAAAAAAATGTAAGCTGACGAAATAACTATTCCATTCCCACCTCAATAGCTCTCAATGACATTTCAAGGTACATACCACACTGGAATGTTGGACAGCATTCCCCTGGGTTTATGTTTTTCATCAGCTGGGGAGGGGTACAAGTCAGGGGGTGGATAGTACAGGTTTCTGGCTTACAGACCAGCTCATATTTATCGCAGCAGCCATCATCAGTCCTCACAATACGGGCCACCTCCCCGGGCATCATGGGAGGTTTGACCAGAGCTTGGCAGTGGACAGAATCACATGCTATGGACAAAATTATAATAGGCTTAAATCTGGAAACTATTGACTAAAACCATTTTGCAAGAAATAGAAAAAATATTGTTTGACATACTAATACGAGTTTCTTTTCCCTTCATATGCACTAAATAAATATGCAAGCCATGTTTGCTTTGGTTTTTTCAATTTACAAGTATATAAAAAAAAATTTCAGATTTAAAAAGACATTACTTACAGGGTTGAGGGGCTGGTGTTGTGACAGGGGAAACAACTGAGGTATTGTTAGCTTAAAAAGGGGAAATCACTCATTCATAACAGAGGATATTACATTATGCTCATTTGTATGTGTTTTTAATACAGTGTAATGTTTTAAAGGGCTATTCCAGCAAAAGAATTCATTGGGAATGGAAACTGCAGAGCATTTTTCTGAAAATTAATGCCACAAATCCAATCTAAATTTCACTCTGTAGCAAATGAAAGCAAAAACAGGTCTACTATCACATAATCATTTATGTACTATTTATGACCCACTATTGGACAAGGAATTAAAAATTCGGTGATGTTCCTATTCATATCTGCAAAACCTTTTTCTTTATGTTTTTTTTTCCAAAACATAATATATCTTGTATTCTTGGCAAGATTATAGAATCAGTCTTTAAGTTAATAAAGTCAAGATTTTAAGGAACACTCCAGAATTTAACTTTTCTTTTTGCTTGAGTGGGCATCTTTACTACAGATCTTTTCTCTCTGATAAGGGTTAAAGACATTCACTGAAATTAAGTCATCTGCTCGTTTCACAACATTATATTATTTGCTGGAACTGATTCGATGAAACTGTGCACTTTTCAAAATAAATCCTAAGTTCTAATGAAAGAAAAGAAACAAAACCAGTATCATAAATTGATTAATATGTTACGTAAGAGTTTAATTTACAGTTAAAACTTCCTATTTATGAAAGAAAAGTAGACAATTTTATAGATCAACATTCCGGGGTTTAACTTCGTTTTGTGTCGTATTCCATTATTATGTATTGCACAATAAGTAATACTGAGGGCCACCATATAATCTTTATGAATTCATTCATCATGATAATTTTTAATAAATGAAGAATATAAGTAATTTTAGATTACTGATTTTAATTAAATGCATATATTGAATTGTGGCTGCAATTGTGGAAAATTGCATGCACCAAAACACACATATACATGCACCCTGATTTAAATTGACATACAATCCGCCTAACTCGTTGGACCGGAAAGTCGTGTGATATCCGTACAAAATGGAGGGCTGGTCGTAAACAGGTTTGTAATAAATATCTCATTTACCTTTAAAAGTATTCAACTTATCATTTCAGTTTGTATCGTTAAGTCTACAGTTTTGCTTACAAATCTCATGGCAGTGGTAAAAATATTTCCTACCTCTGAAAAATAAGAATGACCTAGATGATTATTGTATTATTGACATATCTTTAAAAAGGACAAGGACTAAAAATAGAAATATTGAAAGAACTTTAATAACCATGCAAGATATGGCATGGGTTAAGATTGAATGAGAGAAAAAGAAATGTTAGATCAATTAATCATAAAATATTCACTATGGGACTATAACCTGATAACATGGAGTTGAAAAACTCCTTTTGAAAATGATCGAATATTCAATAAAAATATTAAAAATTTAACTCCAAGAACTTGTCAATTTTCTAGCAGTGCTTTTTTTGGTTAAAGTCTGCGTTAGAAATAAGTTTTTAGTTTTGAAGAAGTAAACATGTTAGTATTATTGCATGATGTTTAATACTTATCATCAAACTAAAAATAAGTTTCAAAATTGTTTCATTGTATTTGTACATTCACATTCGTAAAAATACACTATTTTAAAAGATTTTTTCTTACACACCTTCCCCGCAGTCATGAATTTTAACGCACATATCGTTTCCCTTTTCTAAAACAAAATAAAGCATATACCGTTTCCCCGCAATCACGCATTTTTTCAGACACTTTCAAAACTACACAAATCTTTAATTTCATGCTAATTCCCCTCTATTCTATACTTGCTTAAATCTCATAAAATAAGAAAAGTTAATCTTTTTTAGAGAAACTTGTACCGTGCTGTAAAAAGCTTGCGGGGAAAAGGTAGCTATATATAGTGTCATACTTCTCTGTTTCTAGCGTCATATTTCTTTGACGAGAACATTAAGTGTATGCTGCATAGCAGTTCAGTAAGTTGTAAAGAAAATAAAAATAAGAATATAAAAGCAGCAACTAGGTTTTAATTATTTAAAAGGTTTTATACTTTGTTTAAGTTAATAAGAAACTGAATTTACTGCAAAATTTATTTACATTTTTTACTCGTTTTCTTTTGTAGAAAAAAGAATGGCTACCTCAAATCTTCGACAAGGACAGTATTACCTGGAATGTGATATTTGTAAAAGTCCCGTCAACTTCAAATGCAATAGATGTGCTGTCAAATTATGCAGTGCATGTGTGGGACCTCACATGCTTACCAAACCTAAAAATGGACACAACGTAACAGAATATAACGAATGCCTTACCCACCCCCAGCACCGCTTTAGCGCCTTCTGTAAGACATGTGATATTCCCATTTGTGTCTTATGCATTTCGATCAAACACAAGACGCATAGAATTTCTGAATTATCCGAGAAAGTCGAAACATTATTAAACATCATCACGACAGAAAATAAAAGACTTCAATCGATGCGCGCAGAATTGAAGAAAATTCTCGATCACATAAATAAAAGATCAGCAGCACTTCCACATGTTTACAAACAGACAAGAGAAAGCATTTCATCCCATGCTAGAGAGTGGCATCAGGAGATTGATAAAGCAGAGAAGACGTTACACAAAGATCTTGATGAATTACAAGAAAAGCATGCAGAAGTATTATTGAAGCAGAAAAAAGATTTTGAAGACATACTGAAGAAGTTGAAAAATCTTAAACAAACAATCTTCGGCCTCACAAAATCGACAGATATTTCTGGTTTGATGGAAGTAAAGCTTGAACTTGAAAATATACAGGTACCAATCTTTATAGAAGAAACCCGACCGGCATGTTTCCAACCTTTGAAGTTTAATGAAAGTTATACAACATCGTACTTCGGTTACATAGAGACACTAGAAGCACACAAACTGCCAATTGACGATCTTACTCAACAAAATCAAACCCCTTCATCACGACAAGCTCTAGATGTACCTACAGTTCTGTCCTCCTTTGATACAGAGTTTCCAGCTGACAAAGAAAACAAGAACCGGCTGTATGACATGGTTCCCCTCGGTGATGACAAAGTGTGGACAGGAGGAGCCAATGAAGAGCTCAAGTTGTTTGATCTCCAGGGACATCTCCACGACACTGTCACCATCATGTGTTATGGTCTGTACCTGACACGTCATGATGGACACGTGGTGTACTCCGATGTGAATGACAAGACCGTGAAGAAGGTTACAAACGGTAAAGTAGACATGTTGTTCAGTACCGGGGAGTGGTATCCTTTCGGTATCACCTGTACCGAGGCACGTGACTTCCTGGTCTGTCTCCGGAAAACAGATGAAACAGAGTCCAAGGTCGTAAGATACAGCAGTTCCGGTGACGTGCTGCAGGAAATCCAGTACGACTCCCAGTACCAGCCTCTGTTTAAGTATGCAGTTTTCTTGGTGGAGAATGGTAACGGCGACATCTGTGTAGCTGACTACGATAAAAATGCCGTCACAGTCGTTGACAAGTTTGGGATATTCAGGTTCTCCTACACAGGTAACAAAGCATCAAAGGAGAACTTTAACGTCAGCTCCCTTACCACAGACAGCATGCATCATATCATCATCACGGACTATGATGGTGACAAGATTCACATGCTGGACAGGAACGGCCGATTCCTGAGGTACATCATTCCTGATCAGGGGATACGGACCCCACGGGCCGTGTGTGTCGTTAGGGAGGGGGAATTAATGGTGGGAGAGAATCTGACGGGAATGATCAAAAGAATAAAGTACCTACAATAAGGAGAAGTTTTATGACAATACGTTTACCCCATGTGTGATACTACACTGTATTTCTATATTTCAATACTTATATCTTAATATTAATGGAAAGTAATTGTTTTTTCATGTACAAACAAATATCGACGTAGTAGTTATCTAGATATTCTAATTCATTAAGCTGTTTTTAGACATCTATATCTTGAATAAATAATTGTGTATGAACAAAATGAAGATAGTTTTATCTGTACATAAACAATGTTTTATTAAGATTGAAATAAATGAAAATGTGATTTAAAAAAAAAATCTATAAATAGAGCAATAAATTCAAATCAATTAATTTGCTTCCAAGTATTATAGAATGTAGAGTAAATGTTGTATGCAATACAATGATACGAAATTAAGCTACTTATAAATGTGAATAATTTTTTTATCTAATTTGAATTTCCCTATTCTCGTGTGTTCAGATTTGATTTAAATGTGTGTTTGGCAATAAAAGAAATTCATGAGATTTCCGTTTTAAGGTTGAAACGTCCAGAAAGGCAGTATATGATTTTGTGACTTAAAATCAATACTACATTCTTCATAGTTTAAATGTCGCATGCGTGGCGCGTCTGTAGGTTAGAGCGTCTGTTCTATAGTCGCGAAGTAAGGACTTGACCCTTACATCGCAGGTTCAAATCCCTCTGTGGGACCTGGAGACCGGTCCTTCGGATGAGACCGTAAAACCGAGGTCCCGTGTCACAGTAGGTGCTGGCATGAAAAATATCCCTCCTTGCTCAATGGCCATATACTAATGGCAAATGTATAGGACAAAATTTGCCGCTCCCCACCGGCGAATGTGGTGTCTCCATATGCATGGGCGTCGGAAGCAAATTGAAAGGGGGGAGCTACGTTTTTTCCTCTTTTGATTTTAATTTTAAAATTTGATCATTCATGTATACCGTAATATCCCTATTAACCGCCCCTGTCCCTAGGTCATTTGTTTGACAGAAGCAGGTAAATGCAATAAGAGCCCATTATTTTCCTGTACAATACACACATGAATAATTTTAATCTTTAAATAAAAATCATCTAGAATCGTATCAAAAGTCTGCAATTTCAAAATTTGAATGAAAAAGAATTTCTTTCCTTGGTCTATTATCCGTTTCTCGGTGGAAAATCAGCTTATATTATCTAATGATAATCTTTGAACACTTCATGACTGTATTAAAATTACATACTTTTAGTGTTGGCAAATGATAGACATTTAGAGGCATTGAACATTGGACCGGTTACTCGCTTCATTTCCGATTGTATTCAATGAAGTACCCGGTTTTGAACTTTTAGTACTGAAAATTTGCAATGAAAGAAGTTTGATCCTTCACACACCCAACCCCACGAAATGGACGTTTTGTGTTTGGACAATATTCTTTACATCTTTTATTTTTCAACTTTCAATTTGCTCTTGCCATTTATCATTTCAATATGGATAATACACAAATATTGACAATATTTACAATACACACAAAAATGAGACATAAAAATTAACTCCAAATATTCCACGGATTTTGATTTTAAGAAAAATAAGAAATTGACACACGAAGAAATATAAATTTCCAAAGACAATTCAATAAATAAATCTTACTATTGTCTTTTGAACATACTAGGCTTTCATATTTTACAATTGTAATTCTTGAAAGAGCGTTTTTTAGGGATACCAAAATGTTTGAATTCCATTCGGGAAAATTTGACCTTCGCTATGTTGCCAAACGGGGGCATAAGTGTTTCACAAACACATCTCATTTTATTTTGAGACTGATAATAGATTCCAAATAAGGTTAGTTATATTGATTTACAGAGAGAACTACATGCACCGTAGATAATAATGTTCTAAATTTCTGTTTGATAGAATAAGAACATTCCATCCTTATTTTGGATATCAAAACTTTCCGTTTTCTGTGTCTATAATATACTTATTTTCTATATAACTTGCAACACGAGTTTCATTGGTTAACATATCTTTCAAAGTGGGTAATCATTGAACTCCTGTGGTCAATCTTCAATAGTTTGTACTGTCTATTGGGCCTGGTGTATGAATTAGTTTTGTTATAGAAAACATATATCAATATTTTCAAGGCTGTACAGGTAATCACAACCATCTGTATTTCATACACTCTTCAGCCTCTAGGTGTATGAAATATATATTATATATAAGAATGGAGTACCTAAATGCATGTAAATCCTTTTTTCAAAATGAATAACTGTTATTATCTAAAATATAAAAAACTTAAGGTTTGTAACAGTTGCATTTATTTATATAACATGAGATTGAAGATGAACAACAACAAAATAGCATAAAAATATATATACAAACTAGGATGAGAAGTTAAAAAAATATATTTAAAAATGTCTTTGTATAAAATATGTTCATTAAACTAAATACTGGTCAACGGGAGGCAATGAGATTAATTGTAATCGTCCAATTAAGTTCCACTGGTACAGGCGTACATAAACGGTGTTTGATTTGGTTCGGAAGATTTGTCAGAACACGTATAACATTTATAAATTATAACAATTACACTTGTTTGTGAAGCCCTTCATAACGTTTATAAGTGCATTTTCTATGTACAGGCTGCTCATTTTTTCACAGTTCCTTCTGTCGAGTGAAGTAGCCGTCAATACTGGGTTTGTAAACTGTAGAGTTGGTTGACAGGTTGAACAACTATTGCTAGAAACTACAAGGTTGGAACTCGTAGCTGAAAAAACAATGAAATTCAGTACTATCAAGTTCTCCAAAATAAGATTATCTTAGCTCTAAAATCTGTTGGTTTTGTCTATAACAAAGTTTTGTGCAAAAATAATTATTCATTTTTCTTGGTGTTCAATGCATTTGCTGACTAAAACATAGACTGGTCATGGAATAAAAAAAGTTAGACATTATTTTAACTTACGTGTGATTTTTAGATTTTATTATTTTTTTCAAAATGATTTTTTAAACTGTTAAATATAAAAAAACTGTTAAAGTTTGAATTGTACAATAAACCTACCCCTTGGCATATATATGAGGAAGCCAGATGAACTTGCTGAACATGTCTTTGTGTAGCATTTCATTGCGTTTGGTATTGCCTCTCCATCCTAGAGCAATAATAGAAATATGTATTTTTTTTATTTCTTTTAAAATGGAAAATCTGCAATCATATAGATTTGATAAACAATACAGAGAAACTCATCACTGTATAAAATTCTCCTTACAGCTATCAAAGGTTATAATTCCATAAGATTTTACCACATCCATTTGTTTAAAAAACGTACATCAAGAAAATTTCAGAACCAAAATCATTCACGTACATGTTACTTTTGAATAGTGTACTTCTATTGGCCATTTTTAAAATTTTTACAGTTTTGGCATTAAACAATAGAATTAATATAAAATATCGGAATAGTTTTCACATGAATATATATATGTTACAATTTTAATTCATGTATATTAATTGGATGTTAAATAATATAAATAGATATATATTTAAATACTTTAGCTAAGATATGTCAAGTTGACAAGACAGTTTTTAAAGGATGTATATATGAATTGCATTTAAAATTTGATTTTCAGTCTAAATGTTGCCACACGCAGTCATGGATTTTTATTATTTTTTGTGTTATTAAAGCACAAACACTTCAAAAAAATTTTTAGTGCTCCTTTTATTTTTGGAAGTGGATTTTAAATAAAAAGGTTAAAAAAATTATATTTTGATATTACCAGATACGCAGAACCTGGATGTGTCTATCGTATTATAATAATGATATCTTTAATTTTAGTAATGAATTATCTAAATTTCTGTATTGTTACAATATAACTTTTTGAACTTATCCAATTTTCATATTATACAATAAAATGAAGCTCATGGATATCAAGGTACAAACTTAACTTTCCGTTTTATGTAAAAGTCTTTACCTATGTTTTACAATTTTTCATACTTATTTAATTGTATGTTAAATTGCAACATGGAAAAAATTTGAATTTTTTTAAGGGTGAACACACTAGTTTTATAACTTTACACATTTTGATTATTTTCAATAGTGGTTTTATTTCACATACAAAACTTGAAGCCTTTGGTATCAGAAAAAAATATGCTTGTCTTTTATTTCTGTAGTTTAATACAAAATTATTTTACCTGGCTTATTAATACAATGTTTTGTTATAGGTAATATATATCAATAACATTTCATTTCTTGATACTGTAAAAAAAAAACAAGGTACATGCATTATACTACCTTAAACAGCTTATCTTTATTAAATATTTTATTTCCAACTTAGGTGTTTTATGAATTAATATATACATTGGTTTGGAGTACCTAAAATAAATGTATTTATGTGCTTTTTTTTTATCCAAATTTTTAAAACCTAAATAACCGTTTCCCCTATATTTTCTAAAAATTTTAACAAAAATAAATTTCATATATAGCAACTTATTTTTTATCTAAAAAAAACATGTTAAGATTTCACTAATAACAAATTTTAGAATTGCATTTTTTAACTTTATATAATGTGAGATTGTTTCAATCAAGATGAACAACAACAAAATAGCATAAAAATATATATACAAAATATTCCGTTTTTAGGGCAAATTGAAGAAGTTTAAAAAAATATATATTTTTTAATTTTTAAATAAAAATTTTTAATCTTTGTATAAAATGTTTGTTCATTGTGTAAACTGAAATAAACATATAAACTCATAACTTGAGTTAAATGAGACAAATATTAATTTTTCCTTTAATTGTAAAATCTCTTCACAACCCAATTTTAGGAAATATTCAATATAAACAAATAATTACTTGTACGCATAGCCTAGTATCCACACACCTCAGACATGAACAAAATGTACTTTTAAAGGGATTTCGTGTAGATTTGTCAGAAAAAAATACATTTTATATAAAAATATATATATGATTATTTAACATGTAGGATAATGCACAGTAATTGAACAGAAAAAAATAGAAATTATTTATTTTTTATCACTTTATTTGTGAAAGAATTTACCTTCATTTGGAAAAAGTGGCCTGGGACTCACAATGACCCGAGCACTCTATTTAATTGATGACGCTATTAGTCAGGTATATGACTCATTTCTACATGTCACAGTTACCTTCTGTATTACAGGCGAAAATGTTCTATTTTGAAGTAGTATTTTTTGTTAAATCATTTTATTTTGTATATATTCTGTATTTCACTAGAGATTTCGATAGTTGTTTACAGGTTTACCGAACAGATATTGCTGGCAAAATTTCTAAAAGGTTATATATTTTGACAGAAAAGTGTTTTGCCCAAATTTTATATTTGAAACTGAATAAATATTTCAGATTCTATTCAGCATGAATTGTAGTCCTGTTAAATAAGTATTGGAAATTACAGTTCGTTGTTTTTGACTAAATTCAATGTTTAGGTTATTAGTTCAATAACACAATGATATTTTACTAAATAAGCAAAAATAACATTATTCCATTTGGACTACTTGATGTTTTCAATAAAATTTCTATTCGTTTGCTAAAACATAGAGTGGTTTTTCGTGTAATCCAATTTAGCACTCACTCTCAATTATCTCCCTTCCTTAATACTCTCAAAAATATTTATCGGAAATTTAAACTCTCTCTGTAACACATTATTGCCAAAATTCCTTCCGATGAAGTATATGCTGCAGTTATCTCCCATGCATGTTTAATACTCAGCAGAGGGCAGGCTTTACCTCTTTCCAGAGACAAAGCTTCCCCTCCTAAACACTCACTTTCAATTATCTCCCTTGTGTAGTGTTCACCAGAGGACAAGTTCAATAACTCTCCCCATTGTCCATCACCCCCAACCCCCTAAAAAAACCCAACATACACAAACACACTAAATTCTCACATTCAATTGTCTCCCTTGATCACTACTCACCAAAGGAAAAGCTTCACATCTCTCTAAACGACAACCATCTTACATTGAATTATCTCCCTTTATTAGTACTCACCAGAGGACAGGCTTTACATCTCTCTAAATGACAAACATCTTACATTGAATTATCTCCCTTTATTAGTACTCACCAGAGGACAGGCTTTACATCTCTCTAAATGACAAACATCTTACATTGACACACTGTCTCTCTCGGTGACATACTTCTCCATTTCCACCCAGTCGTTTCTCACATTCACAGGATTTACATACTCCATCTGTCCAGGTTTCATTCACCTGATGTAGGCACAAAATTAAGTCAGTACATGTACACTAGAAATTGTAAATAAGTTTCTACTACTAAAACATGGTGAAAGAATTTATATGTACTTTAAATACAGTTTCAATATGAAATAATCATTGAATATGTATGCAGTCTTTTAATTATACATCTAAAATATTAAGCATTGTGTGATGAAAATCACATATGATCAATGAAATTTACGTCACTATCATGATGGATTATTTAAAAACATTTTGACGATACCAAACAAAAATATCAAATTTTACAAAGTTTTGCTTATTCTAAATCATTGTAGTTATCTGCCAAAAGGATAACTTTAAGGCTCCAAGAAAATACCTTCAATCTGTCTAAAGCTTTACCTTGTAGGAAAGGCTTGAACCATTAGAGTGTTTGTACCAGCAGACTGCAGGTCCATAGTCTAACGGGACACGGCTCACTGGAAACAAAACAAGTCACAGTCAGACATCATTGTAGTGAGTGAATTTTATACATTAAAACAGAACTGGTACAATTACTTTTAATACTGATCATATGTTTAACTGGTATAATTACTGTAAGTACCTCCTCAGGTGTAACTGGTACATGTGTAACTGGTACAATTACTCTAAATTACTGTAACAATTACTTTGCCAAATGTGTGACTTGTACAATAACTGTTAGTACTTTTCACATATATTCACACTGGTACAATTACTGTTTAGTACTTATCACATAAGTTACTGGTACAATTACTGTTAGTACTTACCACATCTGTAACTGGTACAATTACTGTTAGTACTTACCACATGTGTAACTGGTACAATTACAAGTAGTATCTACAGGTACAGCAACTTTTCCCTAAAAAATTATTTAAAGGATTTTTAAAAGCAGTAACTCAATTTAATTATTCTATTTTATAAGAGTTGTAATTTAAAATGGTGTTACATAATAATAATACTTACGACTTGACATGTTGGTTTAACTGCGGTTGGACACACGGCTGGGCACTCTTTAACGAGAAGCATTGAAAAAGTATTAAATATTTCAATCTCAAATGCATTGTGCTGAAAATTTGAGTTTCTTTGATTAATATGAGTAAATTTCTTTACATTTCAAATTCTGAGAGTCTATTGAAAACCATTTGCCAAAAAATAAGGAAAGCACTTTTAATTCCTAAAATAACCCTTTGAACAAAACTGAGTTCATATTTTATACAAGCCTAGTTAAATCTCTTCATTTCTAAAAAAAATTTTCAAAAATACTTCCTTTAAATTTCCTGCCCAACTTGCATATGAAGAAAAAATGTAAGCTGATGAAATAACTATCCTATTCCCACCTTAATAGCTCTCAATGGCATTTCAAGGTACATACCACACTGGAATGTTGGACAGCATTCCCCTGGGTTGATATTTTTCATCAGCTGAGGAGGCGTACAAGTTAGAAGGTGGATAGTACAGGTTTCTGGCTTACAGACCAACTCATATTTATCGCAGCACCCGTCAGCAGTCTTCACGATACGGGCTACCTCCCCGGGCATCATGGGAGGTTTGACCAGAGCTTGGCAGTGGACGGAATCACAAGCTATGGACAAAATTATAATAGGCTTAAATCTTGAAACTAGAGACTAAAACCATTTTGCAAGCAATAGGAAACAATATGGTCTGATAAACAAATTTGAGTTTCGTTCACATTCATGCACTACATAAATTTGCATGCCATGTTTTTGTGGTTTCTTCAATAAATCGGTATATAAATATTTTTTTTCCAATTTAAAAAGGCTTTACTTGCAGGGTTGAGGGGCTGGTGTTGTGACAGGGGAAACAACTGAGGTATTGTTTGCTGAAAAGGGGGAAATTACTCATTCATAACGGAGAATAATACATTTTGGTCATTTCTTTGTGTTTTACAGAATAACATTTTGAAGGGCTATTCCAGCAAAAGAGTTCATTGGGAATGGAAACTGCAGTGAACTTTTCTAAAATTAATTCAATAAATTCAATCTAAATTTCACTCCATTATATCATAGATGCAAATAAGAGGTCTACTTTCATCTAATCTTTTATTTACTATTCATGACACACTCTTGGGCAATGAATCAAAAATTCGATGATGTTCCTATTCAGATCTGCAAAAACTTTTTCTTAAGATGTTTCTAAAGCAGAGTATTTCTTTAATTTGTTCTTTGTAAGATTATAGAATCAATCTTTAAGTTAATTAAAGTCGAGATTTTAACTAAACTCCAGAATTTAACTATTCTTTTAGTTTGTGTGGGCATCTTTACTGCAGATCTTTTCTCTCTGATAAGGGTACAATATATTCACTGAAATAAAGTCATCTGCTCAGTTCACATTATTTGCTGGAACTGATTCAATGAAACAGTGAACTGTCCAAAATAAATTCTAAGTTCTTATGAAAGAAAAAAGAACAAAATCAGTGTTTATAAATTAATTAATATGCTACGAAAATGAACAACAATTTATTACTGTTTATAACCATTTACAAATCTTAAGACTTTAATTTACAGTTAAAACTTCCTATTTATGAAAGAAAAGTAGACAATTTTATAGATAAACATTTAGGGGTTTAACTTCATTTTGTGTACTATGTATTGCACAATTGCACAAAACACACATAAACATGCACCCTGATTTGAATCGACATACAATCAGCCTTACTCATTGGACCGATAAGTCGTGTTTTATCTGTACAAAGTGGAGGGCTGGTCGTAAAGAGGTTTGTAATAAATATCTCATTTACCATTTAAAGTATTCAACTTATCCTTTCAGTTTGAATCGTTAAGTCTACATTGTTGCTTACAAATCTCACGGTAGTAGTAAAAATATTTCCTACCTCTGAAAAATAAGAATGATCTAGATGATTATTGTATTATCGACATATCTTTAAAAAAGGACTAGGACTCAAAATAGAAAAATTGAAAGAACTTAAATAACCATGCAAGATATGGCATGGGTTAACATTGAATGAGAGAAAAAGAAATGTTAGATCAATTAATCATAAAATATACACTATGGAACTATAACATGGAGTTGAAAAAATCCTTTTGAAAATGATCGAATAAAAATATTAACAATTAAACTCTATGAACTTGTCAATTTTCTAGCAGTGCTTTTTTGGTAAAAGTCTGCGTTAGAAATAAATTTCTTAGTTTTGAAGAAGTAAACATTTAACTATTGCATGATGTTTAATACTTATCATCAAACTAAAAATAAGCTTCAAAATTGTTTCATTGTATTTGTGCATTCACATTCGTAAAAATACACTATTTTAGAAGATTTTTTTCTTACACCCCTTCCCCGCAGCCATGCATTTAAACGCACATATCGTTTCCCTTTTCTAAAACAAAATAAAGCATATACCGTTTCCCCGCAATCACGCATTTTTCAGACACTTTCAAAAGTACACAAATCTTTAATTTAATGCTAATTCCCCTCTATTTTATACTTGCTTAAATCTCATAAAATAAGTTAATTTTTTTTAAAACATACGTCAGTATATCTTAACTCTAGAAAAACTTGTACCGTGCTGTAAAAGCTTGCGGGGAAAACGTAGCTATATATAGTGTCATACTTGTCTGTTTCTAGCGTCATATTTCTTTGACGAGAACATTAATTAAGTGTATGGTGCATAGCAGTTCAGTAAGTTGTAAAGGAAATAAAAATGAGAATATAAAAGCAGCAACTAGGTTTTAATTATTTAAAAGGTTTTAGTTTAAATGTTTAAGTTAATAAGAAACTGATTTTACTGCAAAATTTATTTACATTTTTTACTCGTTTTCCTTTGCAGAAAAAAAGATGGCGTCCTCAAATTTAAATCAAGGACAGTATTACTTAGAATGTGATATTTGTAAAAGTCCTGTCAACTTCAAATGCAATAGATGTGCTGTCAAATTATGCAGTGCATGTGTGGGACCTCACATGCTTACCAAACCTAAGAATGGACACGACGTAACAGAATATACAGTACGGTCAACGCGGATTAGGCATTAAACCGCGCTCCCCCCGCGGTGTTTTGATCCTTTCCGCGATACACCCCCGCGGTTATTTCATCGCGGTCTTACCTGTAGCCAGGTATAGACCGCGGCGGTGTGACTTACCGTTGACTGGCACATCGGATTGATCTCACCTGTACGGCCGTATAATATCTATAACTACATATTCGGTCTATAAAATTGCAGATTTTGAGTTTTTAAAAATGGTGCAATTAAAAATATCAATACAGTGATACTGTACTACCCGAAGAATTTCCAAAAAAAAAAATAAAAAAATAGCGCATGATTGTTTTCCCAAGTTATTCTGATGTTTGATAATTGTAAGTTTTTAAAACATGTTTAAAAAAAAATAAATCATATTCTCAGCATAAGCATAAACTTTATTTCTCTAAATCAATGACTATATACCGTGTATCACTTTTACAATGAAACGCATACATGTTTCGATAAATATTCGATGAATGGAAGATCTAGATATTCTGAAACATGTTTATAGGCAATGTGCAATAAATTTCTCTCTCTCTCTCTCTCTCTCTCTCTCTCTCTCTCTCTCTCTCTCTCTCTCTCTCTCTCTCTCTCTCTCTCTCGTATTATTATTTTTGTTTTTTTTAAATCGGCAAAATTCACTTTAAACTGCAGCGCATTTCCGCTTGAAAGCATACTTGTAAGTACGAACAATGTTCATGAGAAAAGCGTGTTAACTGAAAACACTGAGTAGTAGAAATATTTGTATGCAGTTTAAAGTGTTACTTAATGAACTCTTAAATAAATGTGCAAATAAAATAAGAGAAAACTTTTTTAAAAAAAATTCCGCATAATAATAGTATACAGATAAAACGGGGTGCTTTGTTGTGCATACCGTTGTGCATAATAAATTGATATATCGTCCTTTTGCTATACATGCATACATATGTAAAAGAATTAATATTATTTCTACCTCTATAGCCACCCCTGTCAACGTATGGGATTAACTAGACGCAGTGAAATACATGTACATGTAGTTTGTCGTAATTTTTGAGGGACATGTACACAGTGCATATAGGACAGCGTTAACATTCCTATTTTTTGTATTTGTAGAAGACCAAGCAGATACAGGGAAAGTCATTTAGATCAGTTTTTTTGTGAATCCAAATGTAATTTTATTGAAACATACAACCTTATGTTTAAAAAAAAAAGAAGTTCATGCAGACGGCAGTAGGGGAATCCTGTTATAATCAAGATAATCCACCCAGTTTATGAGTTTATATTTTAAAACTGTCAAAATGTTGCGAAAATCCAAATCCTTTGTCTTTCACAAAGGTGTGAAATTATACCCAGTACAGTGTCACTGTGAGACAGGAAATCCCTCTCCGCTTCAACGCGCACAATACACACGAATCCACCAGTTACTAAGGAGACCACGATTAGTCCTTGCAGCTACTTGTACAGTTTGTATACATGTACTAGATTGATCGAGGACAAAAAATTACTTACCAATGCAAAATGCACATAAAATGTTGTTCCGATATTGTTTGTGGTGTTAATGAATTTCTTTTTCAGTAATTTTTTGTTTACGCGATGTAAATAGTCCTTAATAGAATTTTGCAGGAATAAGCTTGGTAGTGAATAAATTATTTTCTAAATCACCTTAACTATTTTCTGAATCAATTCATCTACTGATATTGGGAAATAACCCCACATTCAAAGTTGTAATTGTGCTGAGTTTTGTGTAAGACACATTAAGTGTCCCAGTAAATAAAGGGAGAAGGGGGGTGATTGTTACATCAAAATTAACTTTTTTAATACACGAAATTAATCATGGTAATCTGCATATCTTAAATTTAAATAATTAATTCAAATATGTTTTAAATTATATGATCAATGTAAATGTCGTTGTGAAGTATGTGAAACATGTATGACTGATGAAATTTACTGACCCTTTTCGGGCACGCACGTGTACACCAGGGGTAGGGCTGATTCAGGGGATCGCACCTTGTCCAGTGTACAGCTGTGAGGACCAAGTATGCGTGCCAGGTCTAGCTCTAGACATTATGTAATTTTATTTTATCTTCTACGGATTGGTAGGCCATCAAATTACACACGCATACACACCCTACTGATTTCAAGAACATTGCCCCAGAATAAAGGAAGACACTTTACAGACGACTCGGAGAATGCTGATTACATAAAAATCTTCTGCGTATTATACTCCTATATTTGAAGATTAATTATTTTAAAACACTTTCATCATTTATAGCCCCAGTGAAAGTGACACTGCGATGAATCGCGCGCGTTTCTTTAATCAATCCACTATTAGAATTTTTAAAAAAAAAACGCTACGAAAAATAAAAATTAATATTGAATATCATGAATAACACACGGGGTGTTTTATCTTGCTTTGTCGTATAAATATATCACTTACAGTAATTTATATCGAAAGTTGTGGATCTAAATAGAATGAACACATTTTAAAAAAGTAATTCAAGAATTAGTAAACGCTATTTGAAAATTGCTTTGATGATTTTTATAATTATTTAGTAAATGAGGGTGTATTTTTTTGAAAAATTAATTTTTATTTTGTACTTCAAATATTTCAGCTTCTATAAAATTAATTTTAAAATGTCATTATTTCGTTTTATTTTGTTTTGGTTGATATTTTCTAAGGGAGGTAACTCGCGTTTTAGACCAAGACTGTTTTT